TGACACACCCCCACCTCACGTTGTGACACACCCCCACCTCACGCCCTGACACACCCACACCTCACGTTGTGACACACCCCCACCTCACGCCCTGACACACCCACACCTCACGGCCTGACACACCCCCACCTCACGTTGTGACACACCCCCACCTCACGTTGTGACACACCCCCACCTCACGCCCTGACACACCCCCACCTCACGCCCTGACACACCCACACCTCACGCCCTGACACACCCACACCTCACCCCCACCTCACGCCCTGACACACCCCCACCTCACGCCCTGACACACCCCCACCTCACGCCCTGACACACCCCCACCTCACGCCCTGACACACCCCCACCTCACGCCCTGACACACCCCCAGCTCACGCCCTGACACACCCCCACCTCACGCCCTGACACACCCACACCTCACCCCCACCTCACGCCCTGACACACCCCCAGCTCACGCCCTGACACACCCCCACCTCACGCCCTGACACACCCACACCTCACGTTGTGACACACCCCCACCTCACGCCCTGACACACCCACACCTCACGGCCTGACACACCCCCACCTCACGTTGTGACACACCCCCACCTCACGCCCTGACACACCCCCACCTCACGTTGTGACACACCCCCACCTCACGCCCTGACACACCCACACCTCACGGCCTGACACACCCCCACCTCACGTTGTGACACACCCCCACCTCACGCCCTGACACACCCACACCTCACCCCCACCTCACGCCCTGACACACCCCCAGCTCACGCCCTGACACACCCCCACCTCACGACCTGACACACCCCCACCTCACCTCACCACACACGCATACACACCACGACATGAACACACATACGGTCTGTTGGTGACATCACAATCGTGCCTAATGAAAGTGTCCCGCAGGGCCAAAAAACACACACAAAGTTTTTTTCCCGAAATTTAAAATTTCACCGTCCTAAAATATCTGCTGCTAGGTTTAAATCTTACATTCGGACGTACAACTGATCAATAATGTCTAGTCAAGGGTAAAATTGACGCTAGGCTGAATTTGTTTTTATTTAAAATTGAGCTCATTTAGTTAATTCTGGTGTATTTATCTGCAGCGGTTTTAAGTATCAAACACGTGACAAATCACGTGTTTAAAAACAACAGGCCAAGAACCCCCACCTCACGCCCTGACACACCCCCACCTCACGCCCTGACACACCCCCACCTCACGGCCTGACACACCCCCACCTCACGTTGTGACACACCCCCAGCTCACGCCCTGACACACCCCCACCTCACGCCCTGACACACCCACACCTCACCCCCACCTCACGCCCTGACACACCCCCACCTCACGCCCTGACACACCCCCACCTCACGGCCTGACACACCCCCACCTCACGCTGTGACACACCCCCACCTCACGGCCTGACACATCCCCACCTAACGTTGTGACACACCCCCACCTCACGCCCTGACACACCCCCACCTCACGCCCTGACACACCCCCACCTCACGCCCTGACACACCCACACCTCACCCCCACCTCACGCCCTGACACACCCCCACCTCACGGCCTGACACACCCCCACCTCACGGCCTGACACACCCCCACCTCACGCCCTGACACACCCCCACCTCACGGCCTGACACACCCCCACCTCACGTTGTGACACACCCCCACCTCACGCCCTGACACACCCACACCTAACCCCCACCTCACGCCCTGACACACCCCCAGCTCACGCCCTGACACACCCCCACCTCACGACCTGACACACCCCCACCTCACCTCACCACACACGCATACACACCACGGCATGAACACACATACGGTCTGTTGGTGACATCACAATCGTGCCTAATGAAAGTGTCCCGCAGGGCCAAAAAACACACACACAATTTTTTTCCCGAAATTTAAAATTTCACCGTCCTAAAATATCTGCTGCTAGGTTTAAATCTTACATTCGGACGTACAACTGATCAATAATGTCTAGTCAAGGGTAAAATTGACGCTAGGCTGAATTTGTTTTTATTTAAAATTGAGCTCATTTAGTTAATTCTGGTGTATTTATCTGCAGCTATTTTAAGTATCAAACACGTGACAAATCACGTGTTTAAAAACAACAGGCCAAGAACCTGATAACTTTTCAGAAACGTTGAAGGCCTAGGTCTAATATATCATGGCCGAGTTGTAGAACATACATATGGTAACTCAAGTCCTGAGTTCGTCTCCTGGACTCATGGTCATTATAACCATAAGAGCCGACCCGCGGCGTATCGTATGCCTTTTTTTTTTCTACTTTTTAGTAATTCATAATTTGTGAATTCGACAGTACCAATGCTGCCACTGAAAATATTTGCTTTAAAACACTATCAGTAGGTCTTTAAGGACGATACCCCCCACCCTCCTTTCCCCCAACCCCAACCCCTACCCTACCCCCCCCCCCCTCCGTGAAAGCAGCCTCCTCTTAGTTACCTCCCCTAAGTTTAAAATCGGTTCAAACTAAATTATCTGCCCCTAATAGGCGTCACTAAACCCGGCTGTACGATTGTAAACATTTAGCGTGAACCACAGCTCACCAGACCATGTGGGAGGGGGAGGTTGATTTATGCCTAGTGAAGTAGAGAGGGGACTGCAAGGCGCGCTGACAGCTTGTTTTCTAGGGTCTCCAAGAAGAGAATTATATATATAGACTAGACCGCCCCCCCCCCCAAGAAAATATCAAGTGCCCCCCCCCCTCCCCTCGGAGAAAAAAGTCTGGAAGAAACACTGGAAGGTCACACAGCTCATGCCGAGGTCAATGAAACAAGTAAACTCTACTTCATCTGCCCTACGATGCTTTATTTTGTTATGAAACACATCTGTTTGTATACCATAAAGGACGTCACTATTGACCATCAAGGTCAAATGAAAGGTCATTGTTCCGGTAGAAGTACACGAGTACTCTCTTTACTTGTACGACTTCGTCTGCTTGCCACACATGTCGTCAGCTAGTTACAGGTGACGTCAGCTAGTTACAGGTGACGTCAGCTAGTTACAGGTGACGTCAGCTAGCTATTTGTAACCCAAGCTGAGAGGGGGTGGACAGGATGTGAGAGTGAGGGGAGGGGGGAGTGACAAGTCCAGATGACCTAAAGTTTTGTGCTGACAGTCAGGCTGAAAGCTGAGAAGACTTGCGGAAGTTTTGACTCGTGTACAAACCACGTGTCCAATATGTCGGCGTTTCCGGTTTCCATCAGCCATCTAGCGTGAAGAAAAATGTTGGTGTTTTCGTTAACATTAGTCACGTGAGTAACTTCAGGAGATGTTACAATAGTCGATGTGTACCTTCAAGAGATGTTACATTACAATAGTCGTTGTGTAAGTTTAGGAGATGTTGTAATAGTTGATGTGTAAGCAGTGGCGTAGCGAGGTCGGGTTCACCCGGTGCGGCACTTAATGGTGTCACCCCCCAGAGGCGTTGCGACCCTTCCCGAGGACAAACTTTCAAGTTTTCCATTTGCACCCCCCTCCTCACACTTTCGATTTGCACCCCCCCCCCCTCAAGTTTTCGATTTGCACACCCCCCCCCCCCCTCAAACTTTCGATTTGCACCCCCCCCCTCAAATTTTCGATTTGCACCCCCCCCCCCTCAAGTTTTCGATTTGCACACACCCCCCCCCCCTCAAACTTTCGATTTGCACCCCCCCCCCCTCAAGTTTTCGATTTGCACACCCCCCCCCCCCTCAAACTTTCGATTTGCACCCCCCCCCCTCAAACTTTCGATTTGCACACCCCCCTTCAAGTTTTTCTCTATATATTTTGCTATTTTTTGCCTTGGTGTCACCCCCCCCCCCCCTAAATGGTGTCACCCGGTGCGGTCCGCACCCCCCGCACCCCCCCCCCCCTCGCTACGCCCCTGTGTGTAAGTTCAGGAGATGTTACAATAGTCGATGTGTAACTTCAGGAGATGTTACACTAGTCGATGTGTAACTTCAGGAGATGTTACACTAGTCGATGTGTAACTTCAGGAGATGTTACACTAGTCGATGTGTAACTTCAGGAGATGTTACACTAGTCGATGTGTGTAGGTTAAGTGTAGGGTAGATAACACAAGTCAGGGGTGTACAACTTCAGGGGAAATTGTAGCACTCTCGTAAGACAAGAGTGCAATCTTGGTCAGGTTTGGGACTCGTTTCTCTCTTCAGTGCCAATATATTTTGTCTCTTGATGAGTTTCACGTGGTTATTGATCTACCTCCCCCCCCCCTCCGCACACACACACACACATACACACACACACACTTTCCCCCTTATGAGTTTGAAAATATTTGTTTTTAATGTTACCATTTCTCTTGACGGCTATTTTTTCTTGAGTTTTTCTGGATCTACGAAGTAGAATTTATATAGCAATTAATTACATAGTTTTACCAGTGTCCGCCCCCTCCTCCCGAAAGTTTAAAGAGATGCCTGAAAGAAACACAGAGTCTAATGACGTATTGTCTAATAATCTAGAATCTAATAGTGTACTTTCTAACTATCTTCAATTCTACAGTCTAATGCCTTAGAGTCTAACAAGCTATCGACCTTCAATGTAAGGACCGTCAGTCTAATGACCTAGAGAATAACTTACTACCTTCTATGTTATAATGACCTTTGCTCTTAAGACCCACAGTCTGGAGTAACCAACAGGTCTGACAACCTTCACCTTGAAAAAGTACTTTACTGGGAGTACCCTGAGTTTGTATTACCGTGCGGTAACAACTCTGGACCAAAGGAAAACAAATGTTTACCCAGCGCACCGGCTAAAATGTTGTGTCCAGTTTTGATACGTTGCCAAATCAGCTTCGCCCAAAGAGCTGACCTTGGTGACCTTGATTAGAGAAAACACCGGTCCACCATTAGCAGGTTGCCCTTACGTTACGCGTCATTGTGTGGTTAAAAATAGAAACACGTTTGTTTGATAGCGGTGAACCCGCGCACGAAACGCGGTACGCACCGCGATAGCTGCAGAACACCCGAGTAAAGGGCGAAGCGTCGCTGTGCTGATAGCCGGGCGCTCGTAGAGTAACGGTGAGCGATAACGAGACGGCGTGGCCCGGTAACATGCATTAGTATCACGCGTATAAACAGAGGTGCTGGGCAGAAGGGATATTTGAATAGACATGCTACAGTTGATGACAACACAAAGTACTTTTACGTATTGACTGTTGAAAAAACTCAAGAAAAGTTAGGTAAGTTTTGCATTTTAAATGCTACGATTACACTGTTTTACTGCCTGTATATAATATATTAGCTGTATTTTTATTTATGTATAAAGCAAAAGTACGTGATTACTTTCAATTTTCCTTTCTGACACCTACACCTACACCACCACCCCCCCCCCCCTCCCCACTCCCGGACTAAATAGTAATCAATATTAAATATATCCAAAAGAAGAAAAAATATTTATATTAATCACTTTCAGCCAGCCCCTGGAAATTTTGAGTACCGCCCCCCCCCCCCACCCTGCCCCACAACTCAGGAGAAAAGTGTCGGAAAGAAACCCTATGTATGTGCCCCAACAGGCAGGGGGGGTGGGAGGGGCACTGCCGAACACGTCCACCGCCTTGGATAAAATGGAAAAAAATATGTCCATAGAAAATGTTTTAATTGGTGTCCATCTCCCCCCCCCCCCTACCAGAAATATAATGCCCTAACGGAGAAAAATGACTAAAAGAAACTCTGCTACTTATTCCATGCCGAAACACACGTTTGATAGATCGATCATTGATAACCACATGCGGCCTTACAATCACATGTCATCGAACGTCAACCTTTGAACAGTTGGGTGTCGGCGGATGGGGGGGATGTTCTTTGTGAACAATATAAGTGTTCTCTCTCTTGTTTTATTGATTGCTGCGTGTTAAACCTTAGGGCTGTCTATTAAATTTCTAAAATATTACCAGAGTAAAAACGGACTCGGTTCAATGTTTTTGTTTGCAAAGCAAGGTCGAGTGGAACAGCGCACGACCTGAGTGTCTCATTAACCCCTCCAGCACTGATTCATTAACCCCTCCAGCGCTGATTCATTAACCCCTCCAGCGCTGATTCATTAACCCCTCAAGAACTGATTCATTAACCCCTCAAGAACTGATTCATTAACCCCTCAAGAACTGATTCATTAACCCCTCCAACACTGATTCAATAACTCCTCAAGAACTGATTCATTAACCCCTCAAGAACTGATTCATTAACCCCTCAAGAACTGATTCATTAACCCCTCATGAACTGATTCATTAACCCCTCAAGAACAGATTCATTAACCCCTCAAGAACTGATTCATTAACCCCTCAAGAACTGATTCATTAACCCCTCCAACACTGATTCATTAACCCCTCCAGAACTGATTCATTAACCCCTCCAACACTGATTCCTCAGATTCAATACCTGACTCTCTTTAGGGGTAGTAACTGGGCCTAGAAACTATCCCTATGCCCACCTAATGTCCGAAGTTTTGTCCACCAAATTGTCCATCGACCCGTCCAGCCGTTTCTAGCACCGGTCGGTGCCAAGAACCTCTCTGTGAATTACCCTGGAGTGTCTGGAGACATTTGGGTTGCGTGTTGTGTTCAGTGGTGTACTGTAGACAAGCACATTTCTACTGATCAAAGTGGGGCGTAGACCAGTACATTTCTACTGGCTGGTTAAAGGTTAACTTGTGTAGACTAGCACATTTCTACTGGCTGGTTAAAGGTTAACTTGTGTAGACTAGCACATTTCTACTGGCTGGTTAAAGGTTAGCTTGTGGCGTAGACCAGTACATTTCTACTGGCTGGTTAAAGGTTAACTTGTGTAGACTAGCACATGTCTACTGGCTGGTTAAAGGTTAACTTGTGGCGTAGACCAGTACATTTCTACTGGCTGGTTAAGGTTAACTTGTGTAGACCAGCACATTTCTAATGGCTGGTTAAAGGTTAACTTGTGTAGACCAGTACATTTCTACTGGCTGGTTAAAGGTTAACTTGTGTAGATCAGCACATTTCTACTGGCTGGTTAACACCTACTGTCAACCATCATGTAAGTCAAATGGAGGATTGGTATGGTCCTCAACATACTTTCCTGCTCACTATTGCCTGTTTCAATTCCTTCTTCAATCAATTCTCCGATTCCTGCTCCTACCCCTGTCCTATTTTATCTCTCCCCCCCCCCCCCGTAGTATCGTCTTCCACCCTTGCCTCTACGTGTGCGCCCAATCCTACATCAATCTATACCCTCGTCTCACTTAAATCGCTAGAACAAGTTGATACCATCTTATAACTGACCTCAAATATTTGAACGACTTTTATCAACATCTCAAATCTAAAGATGTCGGTTGTTTCTTGGCTAAAGATTAGCATTAAAACTCTAAAGGCGTCATATTTCTCTAAATTAATTTTCAAATTACTTGTCTCAAAATTAACGAAAATTAGCCCTAATTAAACGTAATTAAAAGCTATTTTCAATGAACTCCAATTAGCAGCTTTGAAAACAATATTTTTCTTCTCTATTTAAAAGAAAATATTACACAATAAGGCCAGTTTTTAAAACGTCTTAATGGGTGACCTCATTTTTGGATATGAAGAAGGTAGTTTTCAATTAAGCTTACGTCATAGGTATCTTTAGGTAAATGGCAGTACTTGCAGTCAACGTTAAATTATACTTTGTGTCGTGTGTGTGTAGCTGTGTCGTGTGTGTAGCTGTGTCGTGAGTGTAGCTGTGTCGTGAGTGTAGCTGTGTCGTGAGTGTAGCTGTGTCGTGTGTGTGTAGCTGTGTCGTGAGTGTAGCTGTGTCGTGAGTGTAGCTGTGTCGTGTGTGTAGCTGTGTCGTGTGTGTAGCTATGTCGTGTGTGTAGCTGTGTCGTGTGTGTAGCTGTGTCGTGAGTGTAGCTGTGTCGTGTGTGTAGCTGTGTCGTGAGTGTGTGTAGCTGTGTCGTGTGTGTAGCTGTGTCGTGAGTGTAGCTGTGTGGTGAGTGTGTAGCTGTGTCGTGTGTAGCTGTGTAGCTGTGTCGTGAATGTGTAGCTGTGTCGTGTGTGTAGCTATGTCGTAAGTGTGTAGCTGGGTCGTGTGTGTGTAGCTGTGTCGTGTGTGTAGCTGTGTCGTGAGTGTGTAGCTGTGTCGTGTGTGTAGCTATGTCGTAAGTGTGTAGCTGTGTGGTGAGTGTGTAGCTGTGTCGTGTGTGTAGCTGTGTCGTGAGTGTGTAGCTGTGGGGTGTGTGTAGCTATGTCGTAAGTGTGTAGCTGTGTGGTGAGTGTGTAGCTGTGTCGTGTGTGTGTAGCTGTGTCGTGTGTGTGTAGCTGTGTCGTGTGTGTAGCTGTGTCGTGTGTGTAGCTGTGTCGTGTGTGTAGCTATGTCGTAAGTGTGTAGCTGTGTCGTGTGTGTGTAGCTGTGTCGTGTGTGTAGCTGTGTCGTGTGTGTAGCTGTGTCGTGTGTGTATCTGTGTCGTGAGCGTGTCGCTGTGTCGTGTGTGTGTAGCTGTGTAGCTGTGTCGTGTAGGACATAATATATTTGTTTCAGTTCAAATCTTACATAAGACCAATTGGCATCATTAGATTAGAGACAAATCTACCTATCAATTTTTACTAGCATCATCAAAGTTGAATCAATATAACGACTTGTGTTTATATCATTGGAACTGTTTCTTAGATCTTTACAAAAAAATGTTTGCTTGTATCATCGTATCTGTGTGTGTTGTGTGTGATCGCAACAATTTGTATCTACAGCCTTTAATCATATCAATAACTGAGCGCTGTTTCCGATATCTCTAATATTACGAACAACTCTAACGATTGTTGTGTGAATAACAACCGCCCTGAAAGTGTTAGAACTTTAGTTCGTTGCTTTCAGAAAAAAAAAAGTAAGATCGTTGTTTTTATATTAGCCAAACGCTTTCTCTAATCTGTTGCATTCAACTGCGTATTAGAGTTCGATTATGTAAAAACAAGTGTCGCATCAAAGCTAATTGTTCTTAGAATCTGGAACTCTTTTACGCCAATATACATGAAAGAGAACATGAAAACTGTTTATCATAAGCTTTTAAGGATTTATAAGAAACATTGTATCAGCTAATCAAAGATTATAGAACAAAATATAATTATCGAAAAACGATGTCGACAAACCCTATGACGGACTTTTGAAAAGTTTTTCTTGGCATCTAAAGAGCATAAAAACGTCTTATAGAATTTAGAACGGGAAAAAAAAAGTTGAACTCGATGTTGCTGGCCGGTAGAGTACGTTTAAGTTTAGCCATGTGCCGAGAACAAAGCTAAAACAGCGGCCATTGAGACTAGTGTAGAAACAGGGTCATTTCCGGGTCAATAACGCACACCAGATGTCCGCGGAAGGTTTTTTCAACTTGTTAGCGTCAATGAGTTCTCTTCACACCAGCAGATGTCGTAAAGAGATGGAGGGCGTGGCATTTGTGTGGGGAAGACAGGGAATCAGTGTTTCTTCCAGACTTTTTTCTCCGGGGGGGCACTTGAAATTTTTTTTGGGGGGGGGGGGGGGGGCTGTAGACTTTCTTCGGGGGGGCGGACACTGTTAAAAGTATATATTTTCTATATAAATTATATAAATTTCATTTCGTTCGGAGGGGGCGGTAAAAATTTTCCGAAGAGATGCCTGGAAGAAACTCTGCAGGGAATCTTTGTGTAAGACGTGTTTAAGTTGTTAAATAACCGGTTAACTTGGGGCTGTTACGTCAGACAGGGAAGGTTGGGGGAGGGGAGAGAAAACATTGACAACTGTTTAATGTCTTATGAGGAAGAAAAGTATAATTTTAGAAAACAAGATTCCTGTTATCCTGTAAACAATATTAAGTGGTATATTAAACTTTTAAACAAGAGGCAAATAATATTTTTTATATAAATACTATGTCCGGCAATGTTTAGGCATCAACACCCGCACATCATCGAGACAAATAGAATTACCACTATACTTATGCAGACTAGCAAGTCAGATTACATAGCGTTGTGTGAAGTTGCCTACCAAGTCAGATTACATAGCGTTGTGTGAAAGTGCCTACCAAGTCAGATTACATAGCGTTGTGTGAAGTTGCCTACCAAGTCAGATTACATAGCGTTGTGTGAAGTTGCCTACCAAGTCAGATTACATAGCGTTGTGTGAAGGTGCCTACCAAGTCAGATTACATAGCGTTGTGTGAAGGTGCCTACCAAGTCAGATTACATAGCGTTGTGTGAAGTTGCCTACCAAGTCA